CTTGCCTGTCCTTCAGTAGCAAACCCTGTAAATCTTTCTGGCACCAGCATTTAGTTTCTTCAGTCTTTCCCAGTATGGGCATATTAATGAAACCCTGAACTTTTTCATCTCTCCGTTTCTAGTCTTGTGATCTCCCTCATAGGCTAATTTTGCAAACGTGCTGCCGTATTAATAGAACCTTACCCGAGGTGCGGAGCCTCTCTTTTGAAGCTTGATTTTATTTTTGATGCCTATAACAGGTGTTGGTTTAATAGGTTTGCTGTATTATGGCTTTTTTTTTTTTTTTTTTTTTTTAAAAAAAACTCTGTAAGCTGACACTACATGAAGGCCAAGCATGTGACTTCTCCCTGCCTTTAGCCTCAGTTCACACCAAACATTTGCGCTGCAGACTCCCAGCAGCAAAGGCAGCCTTAATTCTAACTTTGTCTAAACCAGGAGGTTTTGTGCTGATTTATTTAAATCAGCCCGACCAAAGCCCCTCGTACGTTTCCATCTGAGGGTCTGTTTGCTTTGATTTTCCGCTGCCAGCTTTTTAATGGGCAGCTGCTGAGGGGAAGTGAATGTGGCTCCAGCAGCAAAGGCGAGTGTTTGCGCTGCTTTCTGCATCGATTTCACACAAGTAGTTTGAAGCCACGGTTTGAATTGAACCGATTACTGTTCCCCAAAGGATGGGCTTACTGCAAAGAGGAAGGTGAATTCTTCTATTAGGTCTAGTGGAAAACGTTTCACAAACTGTTTATCAAATAAATATTCACAAAGATGCTTCAAATGAGGAAACCCACCGGGATTAAAGTGTAACTTTACCTCTAAAATACGAGCTGAGATTCCTGGAAATGCTACAAGCTTTTGACTTCACGCCACCTGTTGTTTTCCTGCCACCCCCTTCAGCTCCCTCCCGACTTAGAGCAAACCCAAACACGCTTTGGCTTTGCTGGAACATTTTGCTTGTTTTTCTGTCTCGCAGCAGCCTGGAGGAGCACGGAGCATGCGTTCGCTTCCTGATGTGGTCCTCATGGGCTTGGTTCAGCAAAGAGCTGACTGAGGTTAACGTAAATCTCCTGTAATCCTGACGGGTCTATTCAAGAGCGGTGCAAAGTGCAGGGGCTAAGAGGCTGTGCTACCTCGGGGTGTTGAACCGGGGTGCGGGCGTGTTACGCAGCGGTGGCTGGAGAACAGCTTCATCAGCTCTCCTCTCTCCGATCGCAGCTGTAGCTGGTCCTGACCCGAGGACAAAGCAGTTCCTGAACAAGTGCCCTGTGTATGCAGCTCGGAGTGTGAAAGTAATCCATCGCTGACTTTGAGATACCTTTGTTTGTTGCTGGGGTGTTACAGTTTAAGATCTGCCTTAGCTGTAAATGAGGTGTCTCTGGGAATGAGGTTGGGTATGAACTGGGAAGTTCAGCTGTTCTAGCCAGATCCTCCCTTGGAACCCAAATGGACTTGGATGGGCTCCTTAGTTCCTATGATTTTCACTTGAGCTGCTTTCACTCCAAATTCTTATTCCTCAGTGAAGGCAGTCCTGCGTCGTCCTAGCCCAGTAGTACATTCCCATACACTTTGGTAAACCAGAGGTAGAGAGGGGTTAAGAAACTTGCCCAAGGCAGATGAGTCAGTGCCAGAGCTGGGAATAGAAACTAAGAGACTTGGCTCCTGTTCCCGGCTCTAATTGCACAATCTCACATTGAAGCCCTGTCATCGTATACTCTTGAGGTAACACTGGCTGGAGTGAGACAGGGAAAGCTGTTTGCAGGCTGTGATACCTAAGGAGTGGGGAGAGGAAAAGACACCTGGAGGCGAATTGGTTGTGGAAGCACTGGTAGTTTGTGCTTTAAAGCCTAGCTGCACCACTTGGTACTAAAATCTGATCTGTCACCTTTGAAGCCAACAAAGTGTAAACTAAGGAGCTAGTTGGGAAAAATCCAACCCTTTTCCAGTCACTGCTAAGGGGGAGTGGTAAAGTCGTAACGTCACCGGTCTCTTTTCTGCAAAACACCCTTGCGATGAGACCGGGAACAAAGGCGGATGAGCTAAAAGGATCCAAGTAATAACAGGAAGGGTTAAATCACATTTCCATTGTTACTGAAAGAATAAAAAATAAAAAGTAATCAAGCTAGTGAGAGGTTTGGATGATGTTGCGTTCATATCACATGCTGCGTATAGGAAAAGTCAGCTGGGCTGGTTTTGTTTGAAGTGCAGGGCTTTGAGAGGGTGCAGTGCTTTGCAGCGGACTGTCTGACATTCCCCAGCTGGGACTGGCTGGGGATGGTGTTTGGAGCTGAGAGTTACATTTGGAGTCAGCCCATGTTTGAAGGAGACAGAGAGAGAGAGAGAAAGGAGCCTGTTTTTTTCCTGTGTGAAATAATGCATCCATCTAATCTGCCAGCTGTAGCACATGAAAAGCAAGAGGCAAATGGATAGAAGTCACCTGGAAACTGCAACTGTGCCTCAAACAAAATAGTTCTCTACTGTCCTTTTCTTCCCTTCTTAAAGTCTGTTTTCTGGGACGGGCTGGGAGATCTGGCAGGCGGGCAGATTGGATATATGTTGAGCAACTAAAGCACAGAAATATTAATACTCAAAAAAAATAACATTGGCTTCTGAAGAGCACTTCATGTCCAACTCACTCTGTGCTCTCAGTCCCTTGCAGACTTAGCTGCCCTGCGCAGGGGTTGTCAGGTAATTTATAGATTCTCTGCGTTCATTTGTACAAGCCTTCATTTCCTGTTAATTTACAGCCAGATTAATCTCAGCCATCACAGCCTAGATGAGATCAGAGTTGAACTCACAGCCCCTGCTCCAGGAGAACTCCAGAAAACATGCTTGGGGTTTGCTTTTGCTTATGTCAGGGTCACACACACACATTTAATGGGCTCTCTTCTTTTTGAGGAGGAAAAAAGATGGAAATTTTTGAACTTGCTGATTCCTAATTGAGTTCATTGCAAAAGAAAATAGTCCTTGGGGAAGAGAAATCCTCCTTGCCCATGTGTTCAGTTTCTGGAGGTCACAAAATTCTGGGTATAATGAAATTTCCTGAAGTCCCACTATAGTATTAATTCACTGGACCTCTGTTGCACTCTGTGCATGGATGTGAAAATTCAGTCTTTATTCCTAGCTGTAAATGAATATTGGTCATTTGGATAGTAGCCACATCGTTGTCTTTTATAGCATTTGTGGTTGTGGAGACATGTGTGCCTGTAACCCGTAGAATAACCAGTTCAGGGACATAGGTGTTACGACTTTCCTTTGATTTTTCTTGACACCTTTTTGCATCATATTAGCAGCACGCTGCTAGTGGTGTAAAATTCGTCCTTAATGTTTTGTGAGCCTGCACTGAGTTAATTAAGTAGCATTTAAACTCTTTCGTCAAAGCAGCGTTTCTACGAATGTTTCCCCAGTGTAAGCAAGAGTCATGCACTGGCTGTACAAAGGGTGAGTCTCCAGAAAGCAATTTGTTCTGGGGATGCAGTTTTTACCCTCTTCCTGTTACAGACACCAGCAAATGTGGTGGTGAAAAATCTGGTTTTAATAACAGGGAGGGTAAAGGAACAGATCACAGCGCGTGGAGCCAGGTCCCTTGCCACGTGCTATTGGTATTTTCTTTTGAGGGGAGAGGTTTTCTTTGAGAGAGGCTTGTCTGAACCCCTGGGAGAGCTGAAATGAGGGTGAGGCTGGAGAAGACAGGGCTCCTAGACACCCATCAGCTTCAGTGCCTGGAAGGCTGTGGTCGGCTCATCTGTCAGTTTTTTGTCTCAAGAGCTGATGCTTTGTTGGGAGAGCTGGGACGTCCTGGTTTGCATTCACGAGTGCTTTCACTGGCTGCTGTCTCCTCTTCTGGTTACTCAGCGGGTAGCCGGCCGGATTAAGGCACGGTACTTGTCTGAACCCTCTCTACTATCTCTTATTATTCAGCAAGTTCTCAAGTGTCTGGTGAGCTTCTCTGTTTGGAGTGCCTCACTCACAGCCTTGCCAGTAATATCAGTGACTGGTCTTAAATTCACATCAGGCATGGGCTCTACTTCTTGTGACTAACGTGCAATGTATTTCTGTAATTGATTACTGTTCTCTCTACTGATTCAGGCCAGGAAGGAGTCAGAGGAAAGGGCTCAGGGGATTTTTAGGTAGACCTTGTTGAGTACAGATGAGGTCTAGAGGTATTTAACTGTTTGTTGGCTGTGGAAACCCTGAGGACAAGATTGTAATACCTTCTCTAAAGAAAAAAAAATTAGATTGAATCCTTCGGGCTAGTACTGGTGTGTCAGTAAATGCAGGTGATTGTTACAGGGTCTGATCCTGGAGTCGGTGCTTGGGCAGAGCACTGGTACTGCAGAGCTGTTCTGATGCACAGTGGGACGAAGATAGCAAAAGACGAGGAAATGTTTGCAAGAAGTTTGAAAGCCCTCTTACAGTATTTCTGTGCATTAAAGTCATTGTAATGTAGCTCAGAGTTGGGAGTTTTTAGAAGAATCCTTAGGAATTAATGTTTTGTAACTTTTGCTGAGACTGTATTTACCTATCTGTTTCCTGCTCTGAAAATCCCATCCTCTGTGCAAAACATTGGCAGGTTGCTTAAGCCACTGATCAGCACCCCTTGCCTGCAGGATTAAAATCCAGCCCTGCAGTCCTTGCATGTAACAAATCCATTCTGGAAGTGCAGGAGACCAAGTGCCCCCTTGTAGGAGACCAAGCCCAAATTACTGGAAGAAAAACTGCTGAATGGAGTCAGTGGTTTTGTAGAAGTGAAGAGTCTTGTACCCTACCAGAAAAAGTGCCTGGAAGCTGGCAACTATCTGTGCGCTGGTCTCTCTAGCCGTAGGAACAGCGTGGGGATTAGGGAAGGTCTCTCTGGTGTGGATTTCTCTTCAGACAGCTGTTGAAGAAGCACAGTAAGTCTGAGTGCCTGAGCTCGGGAGCCAGCCTGTGGGCCTGCTGTGGCCTCAGATATGCTTTCTGTTTTTCTAAGAGAATTAAATTGTCTCCGTTTCTCCTCCTGACTGTTTCAGGCATCACAACAGGATCCGCAGCATTGAAGCAAGTCAACTGAAGCCCTACGTTACCCTGGAAACGTTGGACCTGAGTTTCAATGACATCACGGAAATCCGAAACGGCTGCTTTCCGCAGGGACTTCACATAAAGGAGCTGTGAGTTTTTCTTGTGGGGAACAGCTTTTGTTGAGTTACTACAGCAGAGAAGAGGGCCTCAAACCCTCTTTAAAAGAGGAGAGGGGAACGGTTATGCAAAGTATGGGGTCATTTGTCAGGGTTTCAAGTGCAAAGGAGAATTAGAAGGCAGCACATTGTCCTAATTGTCAGGTTATTTTTTGAGCTCTGTCTTTTTGGTTTCTGGTATATCTGTAAAGAACACAGATTATTATTAATTGCGTTGGGTGGGAATGTTGCAACAGAGAGAAGGTGTCGTGCATGCTCCAGGTGGGGGTGTCTTTACAGCTGGAAACCTAGAAGCTAAAAAAAACCTGTCTGCAACAGACTTGTGTCTCTTCCCCGGTGGGAAGTGTATGTGCTGTTTCCCAGATCAGCCCATGTGCACCTGGAAGAGGGGAGGGGGAATGACTGTTTCATCATTAAAGTGGCTACTAAATGTTAAGAACGGAAATCTCTTGTTGGTTATTTGAAGAAAACCAGAGGTTAAGCAGAGCAACACCCTCCTAATAGAGATGTTTGCCTGTTCAGGAAAACATAAAATATTCTGTATTTTAAGTACCTTTGAAGAGGTGCAAACAGGTGATCTGCTTGCATTAAAGCTTGCACCTAAGTTTCTGTAAGAGGCTATGAGAGAGTGGTGTTGTGACTGATGTTTGCTTGTTGTCCTGTAAAAACAGCCTCTGTGGCTAAGACTAGGGTCCAAGTAAGAAAGAGCCCTGGGACAGATGCTGAGGGAAAAATGGGGAATGAATAGAGGCACCCTGCACTGGAATGTTCTCCAGTTTCTGATTTCCACTCCTGATGGCCTTACTGAAGTAGGAGGGTATCAAGGAGCTTTTGGGAAGTGTTCAGCACTCCTCCACATTTGTCCCACGGCTCTGGGAAAGGCACTGTGCTCTTTGTGCAGGCCAGAAATCCAACTGGTTTGAAGCCACCTCTGTAATTTCACCGGCCTGTCTGGAGACCAACCAAGTGCTGATAAAAGGAGATTTCTGACAGAACTGTTCATTTTTCTGCTGTGATTTATTGCAGCTACCTGGGGAGCAACAGAATCAGCACCTTGGAGCCTGGTGCTTTTGATAGTCTGTCACGGTCCCTGCTAACACTTCGTCTGAGTAAAAACAGGATCGCTCAGCTTCCTGTCAAGGCGTTCAGGCTACCTAGGCTAATACAACTGTGAGTAGAACTGTGCACTTTAATTAAGTTCAGCCACCCTTTATGGAAACAAAATGTCCCTGAGGATATACACACCAAATGCCACCCTTCCTTACCTGCTGTCCATAAAACTTAGTATAACTACGCAGTAGTCCTCTGCCAGCACGTAGTAAAACACTTTGGGAGAGGGTCCTTTTTTTGTCTTGTAACTATTGGCTTTTCAGGCCATTCTTCTGATGAGGTGGGAAGGGAGGGATGCTGCAGCAGACGGCAGCATCTTATGCACTTGAGAGTGTAAAACAAATCCATTCCCTTGAAAGCTGCTGGTGTCCGTGGCGCAAGAGAGGTTTGGAAGATGTTTCTATTGCAAGTGACAGAGCTCAGCTACCATGTTAGTTTCTCAAGACCACCCAAGTATCTTTATGTGGCAATAAAAAAAGCAGCAACGGAAGATTGTTAAACTGTGCAGTGATATTTGGGCAAAGAAAACAGCCCTCTAGATGAGTTAACATACACATCGTTGTTGTCCTGCCTGTAGTCTGTATGGTGGGAGCTGCACGGGGATGCGTAGACATCTGCAGCTATAAATACACTTTATGTGTGAAATCGTAGCACTAATGGTTTTAGCTTTTCCCTCCTGCTGCTGTTGGAGAAATGGACCCAGCCTGCGGCCTATTGCAGCCTTTCCATCAAATTTGATAGGCAAAAGGTCAACCTCTGTCTGTTCACAGAAAGTCCACAAAAGCTGTTGGAACTCACACCTCTACAAGGCAGCCTCTTGTCTGAGAGACAGATTCTTAAGCCAAGATGTGTCTAAGGAATGGGTGCGCATTTTTGCTTGCATACATGTAGGATTTATAGCAAATTTGTGATTGAACAGTGTGATGCAATAGTATATGTGTCATAAAAGTCTGTTGCCTCTCAGTTGGAAGTTACTGTGCATTGACTGAGAGCTTGTAATCTGCTGTGTTTGTTTGCATCACGTGCAAAACTGTAATAAAACCAAGGGTCAGCCCAATCTGTTTAGGAGCACAGTTTTCACTGAAAGTTGGAGTAATTGATACTCTTAAAGATAGTCTCACAGCTGGTTGTTTAACCCTATAGATAAACATGAATGAATTGCAAGTTATACAGACTTGATGTGTTGTAGAATTTGTGAACAGTTCTTTTTTCTGGCCAAGTGTAGTTCACTAATAGCCTAGGAAGTGCAGTAAGGCAAGAGTCTTTAGGCCTGCAAACTTTTTAATTCTTACTTGACTTTAATTACACTCAACTTGAGTGCAAGTTCAGCATGGTTTTTTTAGGCAGTTAAAACGTAAACTTAAAGTTTCTGTGGCTTCCTCATCTTTTCCAAAACAAGTTCTGATGTTGTAACCTCCTCCATTTTCTTCAACACAAATGCTGAATGGGAAACTACCCTTAGGTTAGTCTTGTACGTGCAGAAGGGTATCCATTTTAAAAGCTCTATCTTCAGCTTTAGTGCATTTCCTCGATGAAGTTCTCCACAGCCTTTACGGAAGTGGCTTTTCAGCTGGTGTGTCTGGGTTTAGCAATCCATAAGACTGTTTGATACGGGTTGGTAAAGCATGCTGTCATGATGTTCATCCTGCTATTCAGAAAAAAGGTATTCCCAAAATTTTGGAGTCCCTCCCCACCCAGGGGGGGAAAAAAAAAAAAGAAAAAGAAATTTAATGAACCAAGTTGGAGATCTTTGTATACACAAAATACTAAGACTGCCTTGTTATTGGAAACAACTTGTTTCATGCTTTATTAGTTTCTTATAATAGGAAAAAATGTGAAGTTTGTCAGGGGAACTGAAAGCTTTCCTTTCAAACTTAGCCATAAAATTTCCTCTTGGGCTCACAGTTCTTATGGCACCCGCTTGTTTCAGCACACATTTTTACTGGGCGATTACAGGTCCTGTAAAAACAGTGGGTTGTAAGGAAAACAACGCTGATGTTCAGCTGTATTCGTTCAAGTGGTGTCTCTGCTTGAGAGAAGATTAAGTGTGAAAACTGATGAAAAGAATAAATGGCTTAAAAGAAAAGCAGAGAGAGGAGGGATGAAGAGGAATTTTGCTGCACTGTCTCTGTTATTTCTCTCTAGTGGAAGTCTGTCCCAGGGTGAGTTTATTTAAGCGATCACACCCAGCTGACTGCCCTGGCTAGTCTGGGATTGAAAGTTTCCGGTGCGCTTCTGCTGTCTCCTGGGAACCGATGACAGAGAGTTGTTGGCATTGCCGTCCCCATTGTGTGCTGCACAGATGATTTCGTGATTGACAGAGAGTTGTTGGCATTGCCGCCCCCCATTGTGTGCTGCACAGATGATTTCGTGAGAAGGGACTTGGGATTTAATAAACTTGTATGGCCTTGGTGATTTTAGGGAGCTGAACCGGAATCGCATCCGCCTGATTGAAGGCCTGACGTTCCAGGGACTGGACAGCTTGGAAGTCCTGAAACTCCAGCGCAACAACATAAGCAAATTGACCGATGGAGCTTTCTGGGGTCTGGCCAAGATGCAGGTTCTGTAAGTTGGAGAGATGGGCTCTTTTCTCCTAAACAAAGGAGACTTCACCTGTTATCGTGTCCTCGTCTGCCATCTTAGCAAGGATTCCCATCAGTGACCTGTGGGCTCCTGTGCCAGTCCTTGTGCTTCTTTCTATGTCCTGCATGCTCAGAGCTCTGCCATGCTACAGCAGCTTTTGTTTAGCTGACCCACAGTTTACTAAAGCTTACTGCTTTACCAGGTGTTCAGTAAAAAGAAGTCCTGGTTTTCAAGCTGTGGTGGTATTCCTTTGAAAGTTTGGCGATTCGAACATTCAGTAAGATTTCAATTGGTCTTTAAATAAAAGCTCATCTGGCTTCTGCAAATTTGTTTTGACTGATAACATGGAAACTCCGTGTTGCAGACCTGATTATTCTGCCTCTTGGGATACCTAGAAACCAAGCTGGCTTATCTCAGTAATGTGTTCTTTCCATATGAGAGAACAAATTGAATAGTCATTGCAGAGAAACGCTTGAAACTTCCAACATGATTGGCTTTCAGATGTGTTTGCAAGGTCACAAGTGATCAAGGCAGCATGTTTCTGGACGCTGCTGTCACACAACTGAGACTCTGCAAATACAAACTTCTATGTGGTGCTTTAAGCCCAGTTTACTTGCAATGGAGCGTACCTCTGCAGTCCCAGCTTGTGGTGGACGTTTCCTTTGTGTGGTCCTTGGATTTCTATTCTTCGCTGGCACAAGAAATGCCCACAACTGCACGTATCCACATGGGTGTGTTGAAAGGTGTGTAGGAATGGCTAAAATCCCGGTCCTCGTTGGAAATTCTTCATCGTTTGACCAGTGCTGCTTATCTGTCAATTCCTTCTCATTTTTTCTCCACAGCCACCTGGAGTACAACAGCCTGACCGAAGTAAACAGTGGCTCTCTCTATGGCCTTTCATCTCTGCACCAACTTCACCTCAGTAACAACTCTATATCCCGCATCAACCCGGACGGCTGGAGCTTCTGTCAGAAGCTGCATGAGCTGTGAGTTGGTTTCTGTTGCGGCTGGTTGGGCAGGGTTTGATGCTAATGTCGTGTTGGCAGGGAAGGGGAGGAAGGATTTTTCCCAATCCACGTGGCTCACAGCTCCCACTGTATCGACTGTAGAAATGCAGGAACTGCAGCCTCCTAAGCGGTGCCCTTGTTATTCATGATGTTGTGACCTTCAGAGCACCTGATTAAAATACGTTTGCACCAGAAACAAAGGCTAGAACCCACTGAAAGTATACACTGCCAAAAGACCTGGAGAGTCTGTGATCTGCGGCTTGCCAAGGGTTTTTAGCTAGCTGGTTACAAGACGTGCACAGCTTGCCATATAATGACTGTACAGCCTGAAGGAAGCTTTGCTTTATCCTCTGTGTTTACAAAGAACAATCATGTTTTTAACCAGCAGAGATTTGGCCCTTTAAAGGCAGTTCTCCTTGTTTCTCCTGTTTACACTTTACCCTTCCTGTAGGGCTCAGTTGTTGAAAAGTAAATACATTGACTTTGCTCTCCTGAGATTTCCAGCTGTGAATACAGTCTCTTTGATAAATGAAAGAAAGAAAGCCTTGCTGCTAAGGACAGCCCCACAAGGGTGTCTTTTGGGTCTGTGGCACTGCTTAATGCCTTTTTGAAGAGACACACATGGATGCTTGCAGTATTTACAGAAGTAGCTGTCATCCCCTCGGTGGGACTGTGGAAAGATTCACTTTTTTCTTTGGAGAACTTGACACATGTGGTTAGAGGAACTGTAATTCATTCTGCTTGGTGCTCAGAAACCTCTTGTTAAACACGGTTAGAGATTCTCCTGTCCACCAAAAAGCAGTACGGTAAAGCCAGCTCCCTGCTTTCAGAGGCCTCGCTCTGGACTCTGACTAAAGGTCAGTATCTGCTTACCCAGCTGTGAGTCCCTAGTGTTTGGGGATGTGGAGTCAGAGATAGGTGGACATGACACATGTCATTCCTTTAAGTTTAGAAGCAGTAGAATTACCGTGTTAGCCCAGTGACCAGTTGTGATCTTCTGTTGGACCCAAATTATTTATTCAGATGTGGATCGCTTTTTGGTGGCACAAGGAAATATTTTAATTTTTGTTTTAAATACATATGTGATTGTTTAGTTACTTATTTTTTCAAATTGCTGTGAAACTGCCTGTGCTTAAAGGGCTCCTTTGCTTGGCATAGTGCTGTAGACAGCTACAGTTCCTTCACACGCAGATCCTGAACTGGTATTTTACGAGGTTAAGGCAGTGTCAGTGGAGAAATCTTCAAGGCAACAAATCAGAATGAGCACTGTGGTCCGCCTGTGCTCTGCTTAAATCTGAAGCATCAAAAAAAAGGGGAGTCTGCTTTCCTGAGGCACTCACATTTGGATCCCTGGAATAGCCAAATTCAGATCACTGCACTGTGTTAGTGGCACAGCTCTGGGAGCTTTCTGCTCTCAGGGACTCAGTGTCTGGGGCCTGTGCTGAGGCCTGGCTTCAGATGGGGTGGGTAAGCCTCATCTGCGTCTTGCAGAGCTAACAGCAGAACTCTTTTAGGGAGAACTAAGCTTGTCTTTTCTACCTGACACTGTCTTTGCAAACCCTGAAGATTTAGCTGGGAGGTTGCACGTCATGCCGAGTCCTTTATTTGTCAGGTAGGGATTGGGATCTCTTGCCACCAAAGTAGCGTTAACGGTGAGCCATCCTGGCTTAGAGGCCATCCTCTGCTGTAGCTGCAGAAACCCAGCGCAGGACTCCCTTGCCCTGGTACAGAATGGGGTAGATTTGGAAAGTGCTTGGTGATGTGAGGTGGTAGGAGCTACTGGGGCGTGCTTGGCCTGACAAACAGGATTGTGCTGGAGTGTGAGGCCAGAGACGACATTAGCTGAGATTCGAAAGGCGATTATGTGGGTGTTAGCACACATCTCAGCAAAATATTACAAGCTCTTGCAGGTGTTGCCTTTAGGGTAAGGCTGCTGCAGGGAGCCATCAGATACTCCTGACTGAAACTCCCACAGCCAAAGAGTACTTATAGGAGAGGTCTGCTCTGAAATTGAAGGGTGAGGAAAGGAAGCACTAGCTACAACTAGACTGCCTCTGTGCACTTCTTTGAATATGTACACTTCATTCCTTGTTAAAAGATCCCTCGTTTAGCCTGCTATTGTTAAAACTACTGGGCTTCAATTGTCAGAAAGCACTGTCCATGGTTGTACAGGGAATGGATTTCAAAGTCCTTGACCCAAGAGAGAGAGGTAGCCAGACCCCTGCGTACCTGTGCTAAGGAAGGAGGTGGTCATCTGAAGCATGAATTGTCTCCGCTTCAGTTGTTCAGAGAAAACGTGACCCCAAAGCTCTGGTCTGATGCAAAAGCTAGCAAGGAAAGAAAGCTCTTTCCTTGTTACAGGCATGAGAAAGGGCTGATTGTGTTCACTAGTCAGGTGCTAGGGCATCAACATCATGGAAAAATCTACAGTGGGAGCATAGGATTTCATCAGAGGTAAATGATGACTTGGCTGCTGGGTCTGTCTTTTCACTTTTTAGCTATAGTTTGGTCAACAGGAATGAAATGTGTGAGATGTGCCTGGTCCAGAACTGGCTGGCAGCAGAAGCCCCAGCTGCATAACAGGTTTCTGGTTAACCCCTTTATCACTTGGCATGCTGCTCTGTGTGCTGCTCTCCCACTTCCTCGCCAGGCCAAAAGAGCTGGTGTAGATAAACATTTCCACTTGTTTCTTCCAGTGATTTCTCACTGGTAGAGAGATGACAAGGTACGGGAAGCAGCAGGGACCTGCTGACTTCTCTCAACCCAGATAATCCAAACTGCCAAGGAGGGAAATACACTGTTTTGCAAACTGGCCTGTCCCATTGGCGGGAAGCAGAGCCCTTGCACGTCGAAGGAAGCCACTGCCAGGTGCCTTAGCTCCTGAAACCTTCCATCTGGTTGCAGCCATTGCGAGAGTCCTCTAGATACTGCTGCTGTCTGTCCATCTTGAGGTGACGTCAGGACGAACAGAGGGGAACATGCCTTCACCAGTTGTGGCAGGAACTCTTCTGTGTAGAATCAAAAGGAACTTTTTTTTTTTTTTCTCAGCCAGGTTTAGGATTACTTTTGAACACTTTTTTTTTTTTTTTTTCCTTAAAAAAAAAGCCAAATTCTTTAATCGCAGGTGAGGACATAATTTTGACCAGATGCCAGTTCTTCATAACTAACACTACATCTTCTTTAGGAATGAAAGTATGTTGTCCCATGCCTTCTTCAAACTCATTAATCTTTGCCAAATTTTTTCCAAAGCTTGCCCGCTGCCCACTCACACAGCTAAAAGATAGACAGCTCGTTTGCCAAGTAAACGACACTCTCAGTGCTTCAGAGTATGTCTGTTTTGACTTAGGTTTTGGCTTTGCAGTGACTTTCATGCAAGCCCTAGACACATTTTTAAGCAGACTCATTAACAAGCAGTACTAGAAGAGGAATTTGGAGGTTTGGAACTCAGAGAGATTTTTTTTTTTCCTTGTTGTCTGTATAACGAAGGATTTCAGTGCTTGTTCAAGGCTGCATTATTCCACTTTTTGAAAAGTTTAGCGGCCCAAACCCTCACATCGTTTGAAGTGACTTGTGCTTCCAGGTCACTAAGGTATTTTTGAAAATCCTGTGATACTGTCCTTTGTAAAGAGATAAGCTTGAGAAAATGTGAGTAGCAGCACGTAGCTGAATGCCACTTTTTATACCCCACATGCCAGTGTGCAGGCAACTTAAAGCTGAGGCTATTGCCAGTCACACTCACCTGCCAGTAGCCCTGCAGGGCTTACCCAGCTGCACTGACATCCAGAGATCAGAGGAATACGCTCGCAGTGGAGAGCTGTGGGTGAATGCTTCAGGCTGAAGATCACTGACCAGTGACTCCGCCTGCTGATCCCCCAGGAGGTCCCTCATTTGATGAGCCAAGCTGGGCTTCAACATCAGCAACACCGCAGCTTTTCTGCTTGCATAGACAGGGGTTGCATAGTGTTGGAGGTGTCTGCAGCGGCTTGTAGCTTCCCATGGCCTGCCCTCTGTGTCAAATCTCAGAAGCCTCATCTGCACCCTGTCTGGGAGAGGGGAATAGCTTTCTTCCTACCAGCTTCCAATCTGCCACAGGAGTAGTGCTTAAAAAAATAAATCTCCACAACCAGAGATAATACAGGCAAGGGGAAGAGATGGATGGAAAACTAGGAAAAAACCCAGCCCTCCAATACTAGTCACTTGTAAGCGGAGAAGATTTCGAGCAGACTGTGCACTCCTTGACAAAGGGGAGCAGGAGGGAAGGCGGCTGGTTTACAACAGATACCTCTTTCCTGTGCATGAAGGGAAGCGTTCAATTGCCTTGTGGTGAAATGCTTTTGGCTCTCGACTGGGGTGGAGCAGGCTGTGGAGACACCCACGCCCAGACGCCTGGGGCTTGCTGCGCACAAGTGCAGAACGATAAGACACCTCCTGAACACAGAAGTCTGGACCCTGCCAAGAGCGTGTGTGAACTTCAAAATCCGTCTGTTTGATGTCACTCTCCACCTCGCAGGGCGTGGGGAAGGAGGGAACTGCTTTTTCCTGTAAACCTCAGAGGGAGTCCAAATGGGAACGAGGGTTGAACACAACCAAGACTGATGCCTGAGTGTTACCTATACATCAGGGGACTGAGGAGGGGTGGTACTCCCAAACCCTAACCTAGCCATACAGGAGAAAGAGTAGCTCATCCCCGCCATAACATACAGCATGTGATCAGGTTAATTGCTCTCATTCACTCAAGGAGCCTCTCTCTTGTTGCCTGTACGGAAGATATCCCCATAGCTGGGCGCCAGATGCCTCCCGCTCTCCCTTACGGTCATCCAGGCTGCCCCACGGGTATCTCATGGGAGTATTTGCAGACTGCAGTCTTATTTCCTAATCAAGCTGTTATGTATCCCCCCACATCGCCTCTTGTAAGGTGGTTGTGGGAGGCAGGCACTGGCTGGCGCAGAGGAGTTTGGAAAATACTGTTTGGATTGACAAGGGCTGCTGTTTTGGTTTTTTTTTCTCCTCAGAATCCTCTCTTACAACAACCTAACCAGGCTGGATGAGGGAAGCTTGGCAGACCTTGGGGGACTGCACGTACTGCGACTAAGCCACAATTCCATCAATCATATTGCAGAAGGTGCTTTCAAGGGACTCAAAAACCTACGTGTGCTGTAAGTCACTCCCAGCTTTTGTCAGCTAACACCCATCTTCCCATCGCGGTTTGTGTCCTGCCAAACTGTTCTGCTTTGCAGTTGCTTTGGGTGCCTGTGTCCTCAGCATCAAACTGCCCTACACACTGCTCTGTTGTCTTCAGCAGCTGTTGTGTTTACCCCATTATTCAACTTCAGTGAACTTGTATTTTTGAATTAAGAGTAATTAGGAGAATTGCAGTTGGACTGCTCAGTGTTGTAGGGTGCTTTCAGAATAGAGGGCTCTGGAGTAAAATTATAGGAACCTAGGACAGGATCCTGAGTCTAGCCCAGCTGAGTAAAAATCCCTGAGCTTTCAGTCCTTCAGCTAATAGCAAAATTTCTCTTGCTATCCTATTGACTTTAATTGAAATTCTTAGAAAAGCAGAGTTTCTGTTGGTCATTCTGCATTCAGGAGGAGTAGGGAATGATTCCTTTTGCTGACAACACTGCAAATTTGAATATCCTCTTAAATGTGCTATTGAGCATTTTTGCGTGCAGGTTTTTTTGTTCTTAAATGATCAATATAAAATTTTGGGCTAAGATGGTGTTAAGGAAAAAACAATGGCAAAACAAAGAAATGCAGAGGTTGGGCTTGAGATCTGATTATACGAGAATGTAAAAACACCTGAAGCTTCACCCAGTCTTGGGTCCAACCATGGGAGCAAGAAACTGCTGCAGGTACTATGAGAGTAACCAGAAGTCTCTGTTTAACGCAGAATTGGGCTTACTTGGGTCATTAAATGTTCTGTTGCTCTGATTTTCATGGTAATCCCTGAACAACAAAAAACTTGCCATGCTATCAAGAGAAAAGTTTCATGTGCCCTAATACTGAATTGCAAAATGATCCATCCAGTGGTGGCTATGGCCACTTATCAGACTTTTATTTTAAGGTCACTGACACAAAAAAATACCTGGAAATGTGGCACTGGAAGTGAGCTTGCTAGTCTGGGTACCAACTTGTAAGATTTTGGGGCTAGTAGAGACCATCAGACAGCTCAGTCTGACCTCCTCTGGGATGCCAGCTGTAGAGTTGTACTATTACACACTGTTAAACCCAAAACTACATTAGGTTGAAGAACATCTGGGCTTGCCTTAGAGACATCAGAAGATGGGGAATCCAGTTCTAGTAACTGTCCATTCCCGCAGGTGCTCTGCTTCTGTCTCTCTTACTTGTGTCTGCTGAGCTGCTGACTGCTCTGCTCCTCTCTCCAGAGGCTGCAGGCTCAGCACCTTCATCTGGCACACCGCAAGTTCTCACAGTCTGTGTTAGAGCACTGTCCACGCTCCCAGGCTGGTTGAG